GAACTAAATAGCATAATTCAAAATATAATGACGTGGGTTGTAGCTACAGTAACCAGTATATTATATCCAGCCATCACAAAATATGAAGAAAGAGTGCAGAGTAATACTTATCCAGTGTCTGATGACTCAGACCTTTCTTCGGATAGTTCAAGCTTCTGTAGTACATGCAGTGAGGGCTTCACATACAGAAGCTACATACCTAAAGCATTTCAAGCAGATCCATTTGTATTTGCCGGTGACAGGCCAGTGAAGAAACCACCCACACCTTTGAAACCTCCTTCTGCACATGTGGAAAGAAGAGTTATTGGCACAACATATCAAATGAGAGGACAATCTCCATCTTCACAAGTCAATTACAACAAAACCAATTTGGAATATCCATTCCCTAAGATAGGAAGCAGTAAATCTGATAGTTACCTTTTAACATCATTAGAAACAAGCACCAAAAAATCAAAAGATGTTACCACAGAAACAGATAGTTTAGAGATTCCATTGCTATATGACAAAAAAGCAAAGGCCATGGATCAGATGAAAAATTTAAAGAATGTTTTTGTAAACTTTAAATGTCACTTGAAAGGAGAAACACAAATTATTTTAGAAAGTATTTTTCAGGAAATAATGTCTGACTTAACCCAGGCCATTCCTTCTCTTTCTTCTGTGACTGCTGAAGTTTTTGTTGACCAATGTGATACAGAGAGAGAAGACTTGTTCTCAAATATTGACATATGCTCAGTAGCTTCAGAGATTGTGGAAAATATGCTGGAGAAACTGGAGTCCTCTGTTGAGAAAAAATGTATGCAGTTGTTATCACAAGAAGATCTGACAGTTGATATTAAAACAAGTTTCTCAGGTAGTACTGAATATTTCTCATCCTTAGATACAAAACCTTCAGAAGATACACTGACTTCTACCTTGGAGCCAATGTGTGATATTGCAGATGAGATGGTACATGCCATCTTAGATAAGTTGATGACTCTTACGTCTTATAAGAAAAGTGAGCTTCCTCTTGAAGACACAACTAAACATTTCCACCAACAAACTAAGACAGAGCCAATTTTTGATAAATTTTGTCAAAGGACTGACCAAAAGAAATCTAGTCCAGAATCTGATGCTGCTAATCTAATTGTGAAAGAAGAAATGCAGAACTTAATATCAAATATTTTTTCACAGTCCTCTCTAGTTGGTTATGTAGAAGAAGCAATAAGCACTATACTAGGCTGTGTGCAAACTGAACTTAATAATGAGAGACTAATTGCATCTGAAGAAACAGTAGTACTTCTTCAGCTACTGGATGATGTCTTAACTCAACTTCACCAGGGGCCAGCAAAAGCAGGTGTTAAAAAACATAGACAACCTCGAGTAAGAAATCTTCCTGATGCTGACGAAAAGTATAGACTCACTAGCACTGGCTCATTTAATGGTCTTAGAACTAAAAGACCATTTCCTCCTATTAATGTCCCAGGCATGGTTCTCTATTCTGAAGATGATGAGGAGGAAATAGATAACCTTGTGAGAAGTGTGCTTGATTCATCCTATAGTGATGAAAAAATAAAACCGCAAGTGCAGATTCCTAATTATTGGCCTACAAGGAGAGACACTTGTTTTGAATCCAAAAGGAGCAATAACCTACCAACAAAACCTACTCCTCAAAGCAAAGTTGGATCTCATGACTGCGGATTAAAGTTGAAGTTATCTCTTAGTAGTGAAGACATTATGAAGACAACACATTGCTTGACTAATGATGCTTCAGTTTTCAGCCAAGATCAAAAGCATCAAATACAAAAGGCTTCAGAAAACATAGTTCAACACATTTTAACAGAAATGCTCAAGGATATGCCTTCTGTTTCATCTCATCACCCAGGAAGCAAAATTGGTGAAGAAACCTCTGCTTTCGTCTCAGAAAAATCTCAAGGATTATCAGATCAAGAATGGATAGAACAGATGTTTTCTGTGAAAGAAATTTGTGCATTTGCACATGAAATAACTGATTCTGTGATAAATATACTTCAAAAGGCCTCGAAGTGCATTCCTAATACCATTAAAAATGCCATTTCATCAGGTCATCAAACTTGTCTAGATCATTCTGATACTTCCCAAACAACCACAGAAATACCAAGTAAAATGCCATTCAAAGTATGGTTTGACAGTGAAAAGAAAATGAAATATTTATCTTCACTTAACGTAGAGCTTGAAAAAACTTCCATGTTAAGATCTCGAGAATGTGAACCTAAGTGTGTAAATGATATTACTGATAACATCATTAATACAATTTTTAAAAATCTGAAGTTATTTGTTTGTCCAAAATTAAAGCCAGGCAAGAAAATTTCACTCATAGGGAAATCATTGCATTCTCATCTTAGTACTTACACAATGAAAATAGTCAACATTGTTTTAGATGCTATACAGAATGAACTAGAATTCACCAAGATAAACCCAAATCCTAGGGAGACAGATCATATCAAGGGTCGTACAGGCAAAGGGTTGTTTGCTGATTCCAACAAAGCAGTAGACTCCCATGTCACCAGTGTCAATGACATTATGGAAAGTCCATTGCTGACATGTATTTATGAAATGATATCAAGTACAAATGAAGATCAAACAAATACTTCAACCTCTACAGATAAGGCAGTTTCTACAGTGTTATGCGGGTCTGAAAATGCTAATAAACAAACTATTTTGTCAAGTAAACAGGATAAAAATTCTTTTCGACAATATTTGGCTACACCTTGTATTCACCACAGTGTCGCTAGTGGAAAGGATTTGAAAAATAGTTCCAAGTTGAAGGTGTTAGATCGAATTGGAGAAACGCTATATGAAATGTTAAGCAAACTCACAGGTTTCCATGCTGATTATCAGCCATCTTGTAGTCAGCAAAACACAGAGAAGTTACATAAGGATCCTCCAACACTATCTAATGTTCAAGTAATTTCCAAAGCAATTCTGGAATATGTCCTTGCAAAACTATGTGATATTGACATAGATACCAGCATTGTAGATTCTGGATTGAAAACTCTCTCAGAGTCACTTGACATTGACAACCTATCATTTGCTTCAACTATGGAAGAAATGGCCAAATGCACTGACATCATCTCTAATTTAATTTCCAAAATTATGATGGATAATAAAGAGAGTACCAAAAATAAAGCAAAAAGTGATCTCTCAGTGTCTCCCAAAACAGAGAACTCAAAGAAAATGTGCCCAAATAAACTGAAAACTATTGCTTCAGATATTCTTAACATGGTTTTTGCTAAACTGGAACTATTTGCCAGTGGAAATGTAGAAAATATTGGTGCCCTTAATGATGAAAGTAAAACAGAGAATAAAATGGACTGGGACTGTGAAAGCAAAAATTCTCCCACAGATTCACATGATAAATCATTGCTGTCTACTTTATACACTCATGCAAAGAAGGTATCAAGTGGTATTTTGAAAGCCATTCAAACAGAATTAAATATTAATCCATCAGATTGTAATAAAAATACAAAAAACTCACCACAAGAGACACAAATGCTTACAAACATAGTTGATTTAGTTTTAGATATAGTATCTTCAGATATATTTGTTGAAGCTGAATCTGAGCACAGAGACATTGAAAATTACCGATATCGACCAATTTATGGAAATTTTCTTCCTGGAGGAGCTGAATCGGGGTCATTTCTAGATGATGACACACAAAATAAAGAATTCATTGGAGATAGAACATCACCCACAGAAGAAACTAGAACCTTTTCTACTGACCAGTGGCTTCTAGAAAGAACCTTGAACAAAATTGAAGTAAAACTCAAAGAACCACACAAATCTCCAATTGTTCCCATTATAAGAAATATTTTGAATGAAATTTTTCAAAGTGCTTTAATCAATCAACTAAATGTTTCTCTCTCACACTCTCATTTTAGTAGTATGCCTTATAATGTGCCTGTGTCAACTACTCTAACGTCTGCTCAATTTATGGATCCTTTGATGGGCCCTTTAGTGTCTGACACAGATGTAACTCAGGTGGTGAATGATGTTGTTAGGACTGTATTTCACAAACTGTATTCAGCTGCCACGACAGAAAAACATGAAAGTGGAAACAGATGTGAAACTATCATCTTTTCAACCAATGTCTCTTTTCATGAGCATACCTATCCAGGAAACCGACATGTAAGTGTCTTAAGTGGAAATCCATGTGACATTCAGTCGAGGTGGAATGTTGACAAACAGACAAAAATAAATGTAATTGAAGACATTATGCAGGCAATATTAGAAAATTTAGAAACTTTTGCTGCTTCCAAAGTAGAATCTCTCTTTCATCCCCAAGTC